GGTGGGGTTTGGGATGGGGAGTCCTCTTAAGGGTTTGGTGCCTTCAGAAAAGCCCTGGGAGGGGGTGACCGGGGACACCAGCCCCACCTGGGCTGTCCCCGGGGTGTCAGAGGTGCCTCCTGGCAGGGCAGAGGGGGGGCTGGGTGTCTGCACATGCAGAGCCAGCATGAAGCTCTGCTGCTGCACCTTCCCTCCTCCTCCTCCTCCTGCCCGAAGCCCTCTGAAGGAAGGGGGTGGCTGCAGGATATTTTTTTTGGGGGGGGGGGTGAAATAGGAAGGAAAAGGCTTGTCCAGGCCCTATTTTCTGGGGAGGGTGTCTTGGCCAGAGGGTCCCTGGGTGCTTTGCAGAGCCTGGCTGGCTGGAGCCCAGCCCTGAGGCTGCTCCCAGGGGGCTGGGGGAGCTGAAGGGGAAATGTGCTGAACTCTTCAGAGAACTGAGACACTGTCATTGTGTCACTCTCACATGGCCCTGCGTGGCTGGTTGTCCCCAAGGGTCACAGGAGGCTGAGCTAGGCACTCGGGGAGGAATCCCAGTGAATCCCCCCAGGGCCTGGAAAAGCCAAGTGCTGCTCCCTGAGGGGTGTCCATGTGTCCTGCTGGGGGACCTGGAGGAAGTTTGATGCATTTGGAAAGCAGAAGGAAACATCTCAGCTACCCTGTGACTCCGGCGTGAAGACGTGGGGCAGCAGTGGCTGCTCAGCATAGGATCATTGAACCATAGACTGGGTTGGGTTGGAAGGGACCTCAAAGATCATCCAGATCCAACCCCCCTGCATGGGCAGGGACACCTCCCACCAGCCCAGGCTGCTCCAAGCCCCATCCAACCTGCCCTTCAACACTGCCAGGGATGGGGCAGCCACAGCTTCCCTAGGCAATGTGTTCCAGGCTCTCACCACCCTCACACTGGTTTTCCCTCCCCTCCAGGCGAGTGACAAGCGGAAGGCACTGGAGGAGACGATGGCCCTGAGCACACAGTCCCTGGCCAGTGTCACCTACCAGGTCAGCAGCCTGGCCAGCACCTTCCTCCAGCTGCTGGACCTGCAGGCAGCCCAGCTGCGCAAGGTGGAGGCCGAGATTGGCTGCGTGGCCCAGGTGAGACCATCCCTGGGTTGGTGATGGCATCTGGTGGGGTTGAGGTCCTGGGAAAGGGGCTTTGGGCAGCTGGAAGGGGCTGAAGGCCCTTGGTCCCCACAGCTTCAAGAGCCTGTCACCCTCCTCATAGCATCACCTTGCTGTGGAGATGCAGGACCATCTCCTTGGGTGGTGCTGGAGGGCATGGGGGGGCAAGTCCATCTGGGGCTGGGAAACTGGTCTCTGGGGTGTTCTCCCAGTCTGGAGGCTTGTAAATCCCAAGGGAGGTGGAGGAACTGGGAACTGCCCAGGGAGACCTCAGAGGAGCCAACGTAGAGTGATGGGGCTCGGAGAGTTGGGCCTTGGAGCTTTCCCCTTGCTGGGCTCCTTGTCCACCCAGAGGCATGGGGGGGCAAGTCCATCTGGGGCTGGGAAACTGGTCTCTGGGGTGTTCTCCCAGTCTGGAGGCTTGTAAATCCCAAGGGAGGTGGAGGAACTGGGAACTGCCCAGGGAGACCTCAGAGGAGCCAACGTAGAGTGATGGGGCTCGGAGAGTTGGGCCTTGGAGCTTTCCCCTTGCTGGGCTCCTTGTCCACCCAGAGCTCAGGGACACTGGGGCAGAGTCCCTTGGTCACCCCCCCCCCCTCTTCCTGGCACTTGGAAGCTGCCTGGCGCTTCT